TTTAAAGATTAGTCACGCAAACTCTATTGGGTATTCTATTCTGTTACATCTGGTTGCAACCCCAAAACAACAACACAAAGAAAGGCTAACTACTTACCCACTGCTACTTAGGGTTTCTGAGGCTATAAATCTTTAAAGAAGCAGCTTGCCTTGTCTTTCTCCTGCCCAGTGGCTGTTAGGTTTGAACTGCTGACTTTGTAGTTAGCAAGCAGTCCAATGCATATTACCCCACTGCACCACCAAGACTTCATAGTTAACTCATTGCCGTGAGTCAGTTCCAATTCATGGCAACCCCCTCTGTGTCAAAGAAGAACTGTGCTCCATAGAGTTTTCAATAGTTGATTCTTTTGGGAAGTAGATCACCAGGCTTTTCTTCCGAGTTGCCTCTGGGTGGACTCAAACCTCAAACTTTTTGTTTAGCAGCAGGACACTTAACCATTTGCACTACTCAAGGTTGGTGGGGTTGTTGTTGTTATTGTTAAGTGTTGTCGATTTGGTTTTAACTCATAGCGACCCTGTATAGGGTTTCCAAGGAACAGCTGGTGAGTTTGAACCACCGACCTTTAAGTTCAAACGCCCCTTGCAGTCCAGCATATTATTCTGCAGTGGCACACCAGGGCTGGTGAGGTTAGGGGAGCAGTAATAGGGAAAATGTGGAGAACTATGTTGTAAAGGAACAAACATCACAAGTGTCTACTCATCAATCTATTTTTACCCCTTTCTCCCACAATAATCTCACATATACACAAATTTCCCAGGGAGAGCAAATGCAAGCAGTTCATTACAAGGGTTCAAATTCATTCCCACCATGGAGAGATAGAAGCTGGGGAAACAGTCCATCGTCTAGCCCCAGGCAGAGTTTGCATCAGATGAGTCTGAAAATATTGATGTAAGAAGTGCTTGATTGTTTTTGGATATCCCCAAGGATTAGACAGCTGGCAGAAAGAATGTTTGACTCTCTTATAGAGACCCCCAAGGACTGAAATATGCCAGAAGCCACAACCCTCCCTAATGAAGCCCAACATTCACTCCAGTTCTTAGCTGTGAGTCAGACTGTAAATGCTGTTGGACTTGAGTGTCTGAACCTAGGAGACAGGACAAGCCCCAGGGAAGCTGCAATCACCATCTCAGGCCAACTGAGAAAGTGCTTCTCCAGCCTGACTCTCCTGGGCAGCTCCACACTGAAGCAAATTAAGCCAGAGGATAGTAGCCACCCTATTCCTCATGCCATCATTAAGTCTGCAAGGGAATATGGAATGATGAAGCGCTACGTGAACCCTTTGCTGCCTCATGCAAGCAAGTGGGATATAAATCAACTCCATAATATCAGTGGCCATATCTTTTCAGGGCATTAAAGGGAGAGACGCTTTGGTGAGAAGTTCATTGGCAGAATCTGTTGGACTGATTCAGGAAGGATGTTTTCTTTGGTTTTAAACTACATAAAAGTTAATTGTCAGACAAAAAAGGTGGTGGTGGTGTGCCATTGAGTGGATTCCGACTCATAGCGACCCTGTACAGGATTTCTGAGGCTGTCAATTTCTACAGGATCAGAAAGCCTCATCGTTCTCCCATGGAACAGCTGGTAGTTTTGAATTGCTGACCTTGAAGTTAGCAGCCTCATTCTCGTAACCACTATGAGTAACATAGGGAGGGGGGTTATAAAGACATGAAGTGGCTGGTTTACAAGCTTTGATGAGTGTGCTTAGTTTCAGAATAAAGGGCGTAAGGTACAATCCCCACTGAATAGTTTTCCTCTTTTCCAGATGGATCTGGTGTAAGGGGGTAGGGGGATGATGGTAATAAGAATTTATGGTTATATTTTGAGTAATTATTAGCAGAAATGATTGTGATTGTCACAGCACTAATGGTAGAAGATGTGTAAATAAAAGGGGGGAGTGATCTTTCATTTCAGGAAGAGATGATCTCAGGACCACCAAGAAGGAAGAGCATGAGTGGAGCATAGGATTCTACTTAGAGACGTGGGGACAGCAGCAAGCGTGGCATGGAGAGACCTAGCAGCCGAGGACTCTAGGCCCAAGGACGGAGTAAGGCTGTGTGTCTGCGGGCAGGAGGCTGGCTGGCAGGATGTGCCCTTTGGACATTTAATTGAATATATGTTTTGCATGTGAACATCAAATATTTTTTCTTTGTTCATTTGTGAAATATAAGATGTAAATGGGGAGCCACAGGGAGGAAGTAGGATGACAGGGTGGTGGTGGTGGTGTGCCATGGGGTCAGTTCCAACTCATAGCAACACTGTACAGGGTTTCCAAGGCTGTAAATCTTTATGGGAGCAGAACCCGTGGAACAGCTGGGTAGTTTCAAACTGCTGACCTTGCAGTTCACAGCCTGATTCGCAATCACTACGCTACCACAGCTCCTTAGGATAACAGGGAGGGGATTGTAATCATTGAGATGAAACCAAGCATACAGTTTGTCGAATGTAAAGCTGATAATCTTGTCCATAAACCTTTATTCGATTTACAATAAAAAGTTGAAAAAAAAAGTTGGTAACCAGAGATTACAGCAAGGCAGACTAGACAGACGCACTCCACAGACACGAGAGACCCCCAAAATACCAGCAATGGTAATCCTGAAACCCTGAGCTTCAG